TGCCCCTTCTCCATCCCTGCAGCCCCTGCCCTGATTTAAGTCTGTGTCCTAAGGTGTCTCCTGGCTGTCACTTGTCACCCACCCTATTTCCCACAAAGCAGTCAGAGGATTCTCTCTTGAATACAATCTATCTGTTACTCTCCTGGTTTCTTTTCCTCTCCCTGTAACCAGTGGAATAACCCCAAGCCCCCAGCCATCTACCATCTAACCCCAACTAACTCTCCAGCTTCAACTCTTGACTTGCTTCTTGGACTCCAGCGACACTGAACTCATTATAATTCCCGGGCGCTATCCTCTTTCTTGCTGCCTCATTTTAACTTAAGCAGTGAGTGCCTGGTATGGCTTTCCTGCCCCCACCTCCTCCCCCACCTTGCTACACCAGGACTCTGCTTGGGGTGCTCTGACCCTCTTCCCTGGGCCCTTCTTATAACCTCTGCATCATTCAGCCTGATCTCCATAAGGGCAGGGGCTGGGTCTTATTCTGTTTGCAGTACCATGGACATTTAGTACATGTTTCTGGAGAGAATCGTAATTATTTGTTGTACTTTGAAAGACTACGGAGTCCTTCCTCTTCCTCTCCTTGGATGTGAGGTATCTCACTGTGTGAGAGAACCTATTGGCTTATTTCTAAAATGCTGATAATTTTTCTCTCCTTGGGGACTCTTGTGAGAATTAAGTGAGATTGCAACGTTGTATAAAATTTATACTATTCCAAGAATCTGTAACCTCTAGTCCTATGGCCTGTTTTGGTATGGTCAAGAATGATTTACACATTTTTAAATGTTCAAATGGTTTTTCAAAAAAAGGAAAATAATATTTTTGACACTTCGCAATTAAGTGAAATTCAAGTTCCAGTGCTCTTAAGTAAAATTTTATTGGAGTGAACATGGCCATGCTCACGTGTTTTCTGGTTGTCTAACGCTGCTTTTGCATTTCAGTAGTAAAGCTGGGCACTTTCAGTAGGGATCCCCATGGCCTGCAAAGCCTAAAATATTTACTGCTTTATAGAAAATAGGAGATACTATTTATTATGTTTATAGCAAGAGCTAGGTGACCAGCTGTTCGGATATAGGGAAATGTGTGTTATTTACAACCTCTTCTTTATGTCCACTGTGAACTTGCTGAGGGGAGAGATTTCCTCTTTTTTCAATTTCTAGAGCTGCTTCCTGGGCCTGGCAGAGTGATCAGTTAATGTTGGAATATACCACAGGGGCTGAGTTTTGGCTTTTGGGAAAGGAGGGTGTCCCAGCAAGAATTTTATGGGCTATTTGAAGAAATAGTGCGCTTCTCACCTATGCAGCTTGTTAAATGGTGAGATGGATGCTCCTTTTCCTTAAGTCACTGTATACAGTATTCCTTAACCTTGGCTATATTGATATGTTAGGCTGGATTCTTCTTTGTTGTAGATCTTGTCTTGGGAATGGTAGAAAGGTTGGCGGCATCCTTGATTTCCACCCACCAGAAACCAGTTAGCACCCCACTCCAAAGCACATACCCAAGAATGTGTTTAGATATTGCCAGATGTTCCCTGGGGTCAACTCCCCCTCCTAGTTGAGAACTACTATTGTAGAGTATTTGAACTGTAGCTATTGGTTTGCCTCAAGAACTTTTCTGTGTTCCAAAGCCAATTACCATCAGAAGCTTCGAGAGGGGATTTAACATTCCTGGATAGATTCTGCTTACCAGCTCTGTGATTCCTTGCCAGTCTCAGACCTAGTACCAGTCCCAGCCTCAGGCTGGGAGAATTAAATGAGATATGGATTTACTAGCACAGTGGTTGGCATGAAGTGAGCTTTCCGTGTCTCTAGTTTTTTTTTTTTTTTTTTTTTCAGTACTTCTACTCTTAGGAGTTTATTTATTTGAGTTCTTCCTATTTGTTGAACATATTAATCTTGTTAGTTTGGACTGGGAAACTAAGAAGAGATACTATAAAAAAATTAGTGGAGAGAAGTAAATATTTTAATGCTTCAGTGGAGACTGAAAACATGTTATAGATGAATAATAGCATATTATCTTGTGGATCCATTTTTGTTTTGAGGAAGAAGAATTAAGAAAAGTCTTTGGCTACATAAAATGATTATCAAAATCTCAAAGTAGTACAGAGCCTCCATGGGTCTTTATGGTGAGTAGATGAGATTTGTTAGAGATGTATTCTACAAATATTGTTTTGATAGTTCTCATGGTCAACCTAGGCGGGTAGGTATCCTTTTGTATTGTGAGGAAAATGAACATAGAGAGGATAGGTAACAGGTAACATGTTGATAGAAATTCCTTTTTATGAAAGTAGGGGGATATTGAGCATCAGAAGTGAACATCCACCTTATTCCCGATGGTCTTTCTGTGGCCTGGAAATCCCCTTCCTGTGGGTTTGGACCAGAGTCTCCTTGCTGCTAATTCCTTCCTCAGGGAAGATCTGCTGGGAAGCTAGATAGATGCCAGTCCTGTGGTTGAAGGGAAGCTTCAGGTCTTCCTTTTAGTCTTTACGTTTCATTGATCTCAGTGCTTCCCTATAAAACAGCAGGCTGTCCCAATCTCATGCCCAGGTTGAAATGTGACCCCTCTTTGGAGTTTGTCTGCCATTGTTTGCTTCTGGCAGTCTGCCCTGCCCAGCTCTGCTGTCACCTACTTCCTTGGGCTAGGCCTTTGCATAGCTTTCCTCTTTGGGAGTCCCCTGCTAGAGAAGAGGCAGACCCCCTACTATGGCAGTAGAACACAGTTTTACAACACATCTGTGAATGTAATGAGGCAAACTGGGGGCATTCCCATTATTGGATTTGTGTTGGTCAGCTAAGTGCAAAACTTTCCCTTATTGAGTGCCTGCTCTGTGCCAGGCTGGTGATCATGCCTGGGTAATTGCAGGTGTCAAGTATCATGACGTCTGGTCATGTCCCCAACTTGATGGCACGGAAAGCCTCACTTGTTACTCCTCAATTGTTTCCTAATACTTTCTTTTTCGTGATGAAATATAGAGAACAAATAAGACATGTACAGAGTAATATGATTTATAACCCTGTGTCTATGTAGACCTTCACACTTTACCTTGTTTGCTTCAGATTCTTTTTTGAAAAGAAATGAATTATTACAGATAAATTTAAAGCTATCCGTAGAATCCTTCTGATGTTTTCTCTATTTTTCCCTTCCCAGGGGTAGCTACAATCACTGTATTGTGTGTATTTATATTCTTTCTACATGTGTATGTGTCCATAACATTTTATTATCTTTTGTGTTTAAATTTTATATAAACCTAATCATTAATCATACTTTTTACTTTTTGGCAAGATTCCTATGCTGTGTACTTTGTCTTCAGTTTGAATTTGGAATGTCACAGAAATAGGCTTTTGAACTTACTAAAAACAATAGGCATTCCTAGGTTGGTTTATAATTAAATTGCTCTTTCAGTTTTACACAGAATTTTTAAAGGAACTTTTTTGTTTGTTTAGATTTGGTTTGTTTTTGAGAGGTAGCCCTGTGGATAAATGTAGCCCCAATTCTTCAATTTGAATGTTTTTGGATATTCCATGTTTTTGTCTTTGTGAAAATGTATTAGCACACACTCCTGGTGATGGACATTTAGGTTCCTGGTGTTACAATCATGTTTCGTTGAACATCCTGCACGTGTCTCCTGGAGTGCTCACCAGAGTTTCCCTAGGAGTTTGTCTACCATGTAGGATACACCCACGTTCATCGTCACTGAAATTTGCCAAATTGTACTGAAGGGGCTATACCAATTTCTGCTCACCCCTGTGTATGGGGGTTGGTTTCACTCTATCCTTCACTTTTTATAATCTGCTCTTGCACATTAACAGACTAAAAACTGCCCACGAATTTGATGGATCTAATCTAGTGCCCCATTTTCCACTATTGTATGATATTTAATAAAGTTGAAATTGATTTTCTTTATTTTCTCAGGTTGGAAAAGAACAATTTAACTATGAGAATAGTCTGGATTTTTTTGTGACATATTTGCAAAACTTCACATGTATAATCCCGGTGTTCCTTTAATTATGAAGCTGTACTGTATGGCTTCATCCACACACCTGTTCTGAGTTATCTCTGTTTCTGAGGCTTCTCTTTCTTTTTCTCAATTTTCGATTCAGTGCACTATTTGTAGTGCTGCCTATGAGGCCACTGAAATGACTCCTAGGGAAGGGCCTTCATGTGCTCTTCTCCTCCTGTGTTTGGAACTCCATCATTGCAGGGAAGTCCTTCCTGTAATTAATGTAAATGATTCTGGAGTTCTGCTGAAGCAAATTGTCCTGTGCTTCAGTTAGTAGAGCCAGAAATAGTGACTTGGAGGGTTAGTACAATAGCACTTGGTGTAACGGAGTTTTAAGTGCAGGGAGATTGTGTATGGCTGCAGGAGATTCTTGGTTACTTTCTAATTTCAAGTGTGAAAAGAGAAACACCAGTGTACTGATCTTTATTTATAATAGATATTGCTTGATAGAACCTTGTCCTTCAAATTAGAAGAACATAAACTTTTGATTGTTTGGTTTGACTTGGTACGTATAATAACCTATATCCTGCAGTAAGTCTAGTATAATTTCATTCTTTAATGAAGGGGGCATGTTGAAACAGACTTCATTGAGAATTAGATGAGGATATAAAAACCTGCATTCTTGAATGTATACATTTTTTTTTCATGAGAATTTCAGTTAGTAGTGGGGATATGTGGGGCCCCCAGGCTGTTTGGCCCTCCCCCAACTCCACTCCCACTGGCTAGTTCTTCAGTCACAATGGCCATTTTAATGGAAATGGTCAGTCCTTAGAAGAACCTGGAATGTGTATTATTTAGATTTGACTGGACTAGACAAGTGGGATTTGTTTCTTCTACTCCAGTTATCAAAAAGATTAACCCTTTGCCCTCTACATTCTAATTGTAACCCTTCAGAAACAAAGGGGCTGTTTGTACAAGATAGTTGAAAAAATGAGGCTGGATGCCAAGTGGACTGTTTCTCAGTTGAAGGAGGTAGCAACATTTTTTTTTTCTTCTGTTGCAGGCGTCTGTAGAGGCTTCTGGTGAAATCGCATTATGCAAGACTGGATTTCCTGAAGATGTTTACAGTGCCGTCTTATCGAAGGATGTGCATGAAGGACAGCCTCTTCTCAATGGTACAATCTCAAAAGATATATTTGTGCATACACTGTCCATGCTCTTGAAACAAATTAGCCATTAAAAATGTCTGAATCATCTCCACTGTATAACAAGTATGAATTTTTTCACAATCACTATAATGAGACTGTAGGGACTTTATTTTAGGATTACAGAAGAGCTCATGTATCTCTTATGTACATAATTAGAAGGCTCCTGGTATCTTGAAAATTTCAGATTTCTTCCTTTTTCAGTTTACAGTAAGATCCATTATGCAACCTTCTTACAATTTTTCTGCATGCATTTTGCTTATTTTGAAAAAAAAAATTTATCAGACATTTGGTTCTGATAGCTTTCAAAATTTTTTGCAGCAAACATCTTCTTAGTATTTTGAATTAAAGAAAGGAAGTTATTATAATATTATCTTTAATAAAACATGTCAAACTTTATTATTCAGCTGAATTGTAATAAACAAATTTAAAAAGTAATGTCTCAGTGCAGGAGCATGAAATCTGTATTTTTGTTATGACATTGTTTATAGAAATTACTAGATAGCTAATTTAGTTGTAGCATATGTGAATTTCAAATATAGACTCATTTTCCGTGTAAATATGGATCCAGTTCATTATAGTTATCATATGAAAACTCTTGCCAACAAGTTTAGATAAAATCTGGAATGAAACTTGAGTATCAGAAGTAAAATTGAAAGTCCCTTCCTTTAGCTCCAATTGAAAGCAAATAAAATTTTTGTTAGTAGTATTTTCATGGACTTATTTATCATTACACCAAATGTCATTGAAATGTGAAAGCAAGAAGAATTGATTAGTAAGTTGTATTTAAATTTTAATTCCTTGCAAATCTTGCATATCTCTGAGGCTGTTTTAGAGAGCCTCATTTAGAAAGTCTGTGTAACATCAACTAATTAATTTACACAGAGCTCTACCACATAGCTTTAATTGAAGTGTCTCCATAGCACTGACAAATCTTAGTGGTACAATTCTTAAGAATGCAGTAGACAGAGGACTTTGCAATGCAAATGGCCTCTTAGCCACTGAAGTTCTTTGGAGGAACTTACATTTTATTTTAATTTCTGTTTACATCATGATGGGCTCACACCTATGTGATCTCTCTGAAGTTGGTTTTTAATTTTCTTAAAGGCCGCCTCCTGTTACTGCCTCATTACGTGGTATTTTAATGAGTGAATGTTTGAGTTAGTCTGTCTAAACATGGAATTGCTATCTTATCTCTTGGGTAACCATCCACATGATGGTGGTTTAATTCAAATCACAGTGTGTAAAGTTTGTTTCATTTAATGTGAATCTTGAGGTTCTGCCTGCTTGTCATTTTCTTTAAATTTGTAAATTATAAGGAGGCCTCCTAGAACCTATAGGATGTGTAAATAGTGTTTGAATTGCAAAATATATTAATATGATTCTATGGAATAATTCAGGCAGATAAAAAAAATTCAGTGGAATCTGTTGCATTTTGCAATATACATTTGGGATTCATTTTTGAGAGGGTAATTCCATTTTCTAAAAGCTTATAATTTGTTGATTACAAATAAACATATGGTCTATCACTAGAAACCATTGACTTAGATTAACTTTGACTTTTGAATAGTTTTGAACGTGATAGCTTATATTCTAAGTTTTAGACGATGCTTGAGACAGTAGAAAGCAGGCATAGCTTCTTGCCAGTATCTATTTAGTATAACCTAGAAACTTCAGAGGTTTGCTGAAGTTGTAAATGTGATGGATTAAAAATACTTTTGACGTGAGCTCTAGCCATCACTGTAAGACGTGTGTATGATTGTATGGTAGCATTTCCAGATGACACACCATTACTTTTTTTAGTCATTCTCAGAAGATGTTAGAGGACACCAGTGTCTTAAAGCTTAAAACATTATGTTTAAAAATATTGATTAGTAGGAAAAAAAATAACTTTGAAAGGAAGAAAATTTACTTCAGCTCTGGGGAACATCACCATTTCTCTTTCCAAGACTGTTGTCACCAGTTAATGCTTCTTTTGGAGAACTGTGAATTAAAAATGATTTTAGGTTTTATTAAAGCTTTATATTTTTTTTTAAGTTTTCAGAGGGATGATAATCCAAAGCTGTCTCTGTACCTTAAAGCTGAATACCATGCTATAATTATATCTATGAATTCTATAAGTCCATTTATCTAAATACACTATAGCAGAAAGATATATTGCCAAGTCAACCACAGTGATTACTTTTGTCCTTGGGTTAGTGACCTATAGTGTTTAAGGAAAGAATAAGAGGTACATGACAGTTTTCCAAGACATTCACTTCGTGGCATATTCAGCCCTATTAAGGTTGACTTTAGAGTCATTTTTACCTTGAATTTTTCTTTTCTTTTTTCTTTTTTTGTAAATATGCCTCCTAACTCTTGCTGTTTCCTTTCATTTCCCCTTAATGACATTTGGGGAGAAGAGGACAAAGGCCCACCAATCCATATGGTATGGTTTCACAGGATACATCTGTGCAGAAGTTTATTATTTTGATGTGTATGCATGGATTCTGATCATTTTCCAAGCAAGTAGCAATCCTTTTGAAAGTACTTGGAAAATGAAACTTCAGGTGAAGGTATAAGGTGATGTTAGTCATGTTAGAAAAATGACATAGAAGAAGCCTGAAAAGTGCAAACAGAACACTAGTTCAGAGGGCATTTGTCCTCCCCAGTGCCCTTTGAATTTTTTGCTGTTGTAATGAATTTTATAGAAATAACAAACCGGAAGAACTAGTTGTATCCCTCTAGGTTCTCCTCTGGTTTTCACCAGTATGTTTTTTGGGGAAATCACAAAGACAGTGAATGCATTTTGTGACCCACCTTTCCATTTCCTGTTATATCACATGAATACTTCTGCTGTTTGAAGATAGTCCAGCCTTTAAAAAAAAAAAAAATGGCCATAGAGGCCCGTGTTCTATTTTGTTAGCAAAACCAGATTTCGCTTCACTGTGTCTCTATTTTTGAACATACAGGTTGTTTCCAATTTTCCCCTCATATGTATAGTGCTGCTATGGAGATTCTTTTTAGAGAACTTTTATTTTTCTTTAGGGATATTTTCATTGGGAATTTGTGTTCAGAAGTAGAGTTACTAGGTCAAAGGAAATATAGAGGTTGACAGTTGACAGTTGACAGTTTTAGTCCTATGTTCATAGGACTACAATATGTCAGTTCTTTTGAGCATCTTCATCACCATGTGATGTCATAATGGTTTTTTTTTTTTTTTTTCTTCATTTCTCTCTTTCTCTTTTGGAGAGATGGCATTCCTTTTTTATCCTATGGCATCTCATCTGTTTGCCTTTATAAGTTGGGATCAATTCTGTTGTGCTTAGGTAGTCATTTTTGCCTTGCCTTTTTCTATTCTGTTTTTAAAGCATTTAATGCCAACCCCCTCATTTTATAGACTAGCAAATTAGAGCTCAGAGAGATTATAGGCTTTCCCCATGATTATATAGCTCTTTAGATTGTTAGCTACAGACCTGGAATTAGAACTCAGGTTTCCTGATACCTAATCTAGTTCTGATGATGGCGATGATAAAAACCATTATGGTCTATAACACAGAGAAAGGTGAAGGCTGATGGGAGTTAGCCTAAAAGCCTAGGTGTCTCGTGGAAAGAGCTGGCCTTCTTACCTATTTAACACCCTGACTCGCATGTGGCCACATATATTTGGGAACTGAGGACTATCAAGTAAACAACAACCCCATAATTAAAACAAAACAAAACAAAACAAAAACTTTAAGTTGTTTTCACTCATAGTATTTTGCACCTGCTTGCTAGTAAATAGAAAAAATCTAGGGCTTTGGAAGTGATTGCTTAGTCCTTAATATTTAACTTACACTCCACTGGGCTAGATATGGTAGCAAGTTATTTGGAAATAAAATAACTGTAATCATAAATTTCCATTCCGTCACCAGCAGCGTATCTGACACTGAGAAAAAAACCACCACACTGTGACATTGCAGAGAAGATCCCAGGCTGCTTTGAGTGTGCTGGTTGAGTGATGCTCCTACATGTTTAGCATTGGTGGTCTGCATGCTCAGATACTAAGTAAACTCCTCCAAATCTGGTCAGCATAAATAGCAACTGGCAATTACCATGAATATTTTCAGTCATCCATTCATACTCACCACCTCTGGGCAGCACATGATGATTATTTTCAACTAGAGGGAATTTGATTTAGATTAGTTTGCTTACTGATTGAGGCCTGACTGCATTAACATGGGAGCTGCAGCCCAGCATCTTCAGATAATAGTACTGAAACAGTTTTTATTACTTTAGTAGGATGATACGACTGTACAGCTGCACCATTTCTTAATAATATGAATATTTTTATATGGCATATATTACTAAATCGGGAAAGAAGCTTGTATGAATCTTCATGAAGCCATGGGTTTTGGTTTATATTTTTTGATAAGTGTTTGTTGTTATTGACTATGTAAATATTTTACAATATTTGAAAGGTAGGTTTTATAAACATCTTGATCATAAAGCCAGGCAGGCCCCTGCACTTTACTGATTTCCAATTGATGGTGGGAAATGGTACTAAATAGGGAGATTGTTCTCTAGGATATTGATGATAAACTCCTAAGGAGGCACAAAGGAAATGCAGCCAGGTATATATACTCTCAGCAGTTGACATTTTAAAAACCTTATCATATGCAAAAGGTTTTTGTTGTTGTTGTTATTGCTTTAAGAAGAGTTAATATATATAATAATATCAATAAAAGAACCAAAGACTTTCATCCTTATTTTTATTATGATCATTTAGACTTTATTTAATACAGGAAAGTTTTTCTATTTGTTTGGATGTGTTTTGGGTCCAGGTTTCTTAATGCACTGCTGCAAATGCCAGTTTGAGTGGTCACTTCTTTTTAAGATCTTTTTGAAGTTCTTCCTACCTTTCAGGGACTGGGAGGAGCTGTGGTTTGCTCCTTTAAAAGCGTGCAACCAGGAAACGTGTTAAAAGAGAGCTATTCATGGTTCTACATCTA